AGACTTCCAACTATTTTGGTGGAGTCAAACTCCAATTCTTTGAAATTTTTGTCCCCTGATAAAAATGACCACCTGCAGTATAATGTTTACTAAAATAATTTCCTTCACAAAAATGAGAGTAAAATTAACATATTTAGTTGGGAACCAATTAATTTCTAAAAGGATCAACTTTTTGATAATGTTAGATTCAATTTATTGGGCTAACGCAAAAATCAATTCCTAGAATTTGTAACAATTCTACACTCAGAGCAACACAATACGCCCAAACGATTAGGTTCTTAATGCGAAGTGTACATTAAGGCATGGTTTCTTCTTTATATTCTTATCGTCGATTTTTTTTCATTTTTATAAATATTATGTTTTCTTTAATAATTACTAATTTTTACTTTTTAATTTTATATATAGGTTGATTAGGGCTAGGGGTTTTTGATTTCGAAGAAATTAGAATTGAAAAGGTAAGTTAAAGATAGGCTGAAGAAAAATGATTTTTTTTTTAAATATGAAAATTTAAATAATAAAATTTTTAAAAAAAATTTAAATATAAATTTTTAAAATAATAATCACATAACAACGATGAATTATAACTTAATAAAAAAAACTGATGATAAAAATTAAATTTTACCGTATTTAAAAAAAGTTACAATGAAATCTTTAAAAAAATTAAGAATTAATTTTAAAAAATAATATTTTTATAAAAATAAAAATATAATTAAACTATATCTATATTATTAATTAAAATAAATTAATATCTTTAACTTTCAGTTTTTAAAGTAAGCTTCAATTTTTTATTTTATTCTGTAATTTAAAAAAAATTAAATAGGTCAATTTTCTGACCGTTACAATTTTTTGTCTTTTTATATGAGTATGAAAGCGGACACTATTCATCACAATGTTGTTGACCATCTCTCTCTTGGCTGTGTTAAGATGGAGAAGAAGTGATCAGAAGCCACCAAAAATGTCCCCCACACCTCACTCTCTCTTCCAAGTCATGGTTCAAAGCAATCTTGGACTGTTGGTTGACGTTGAGACTCTACTGGGAGTGCAATCTCCAAGGCCATGCGAGAGAGTGGGTGTATGAGTGTATCGTCATTTTCATATCTACTTTAAGCTGCTTCCACGCTTGCAGAACACAGATCCATTCACCTAGACAAAGCCACAATGCCAATGACCCATAGAGGAAAGCAAGCAAGTCATGGGTTTATAAGCGAGCCCCAAGCAGGCCATGTCTCCCGCATCATACTCACCCATAATCCTAGCATCAGCAGCCTCACCCGCACACCCCTTCCCGTACAACTCCCTCACCCAATCATAAGCATCACCTCCTCCTTGTTATATGAACAGCAAAAATAAGAAAATGAAAGAGACAGTGTTTAGGAGGAATACTACGGTTTATTCAACTAAGAAAATCCTTTACAAAGCAAAGAGAAAATACAAAATTAACTCCTAAAATATTGGAAAGCATAGTAACTTAAATCAGAAAACTAACTACTGCTAGAGAGTAGATCATAACAAAGCTGAAAATATCTAAGAAACCCTCCCTTAAACTGACATTAGTTTCTAATATCAATTTAAACTAAAAACTCTTCTGAAATGCTGCAAGTTTAAGAGCCTTTGTGAATATGTCTGCAATTTGATCCTCATTCCTGCAATAAACCAAATCAATTTCTTCATTACTTGCCTATTCTCTCAAGAAATGGTATTGAACATCAATATGTTTACTTGTCCCAAAATAAGATTTTTTGCTTGAAATGAACTTCCTCTAAAAGCTTTCTCAACCAAATGACTTGCCAGACACATGCTGATGCAGCTACAAGCTCTACTTATATTGTTGATAGAATGACAATTGGTTACTTTTGAGAAGATTATGAAACAGCTCCTAACCCCATCTTAAAGGCATAATCAGATGTACTTTTGGTATTATCTTGGTCACCAACATAGTCACTATCGTAAAGCCAATCAAATCTAATTTTTCTTCTCTTTTTGTACAAAATTCGATACTCACTTGTACCTTGCAAATATCTAAGAATTCTTTTTGTTGCTTGGAGATGCAGTTCCTTTGGATGTTCCATGAAGCTACAAATGAAACTTACAACATACATTATATTCTGCTTTGTCGCAATGAGATACATCAAGCTTCTTACAATTTGCTTGTATATAATGCTATCAATATTTCTTCCATTGTTATCTTTTACTAACTTCAAACTCGTCTCTGCTGGTGTGCAAGCTGAATTGCAGTCCTCCATCTGAAACCTTCTTAGGATCTCTTGCACATACTTCTTTTTATAAATAAAAATACCTATATCTGATTGAATAACCTCTATACCCAGAAAATAATGCATTCTACAAAGTTCAGACATGTCAAATTCAGCCATCATGGACCTTTTAAACTTATCAAACATAGTCTGATCATTTTCAGTAAATAACAAGTCGTCAACATACAAACAGACCAGCAACATTTTTTTCATCATTTTCATATTTAGGACTAGAGAAATATGGAAGACCAGCTACCATATTTTTCTTTTGAAATGTTTATAAACCTCCAAGACTGAGATGACCATAATGAAAATGCCAATGCTGCACTTGATTGATTGAACTTGCTGCATAACATGATTTAGTAGAATGATTAAGGTAGAGAGGAAACATTTGATTTGTTGTCATAGCCACTTTAGCGATCAATCCCAATCTGTCATCTAGAATTTGACACACGCCATTTTTAATTGTGATCTCTTAACCCTTCTCTTGCAGCTTACCCATACTTAACAAATTAGTCTTTAAATCTGGGACAAAAAGGACATTAGATATGGTTTGAGCAACATTACTTTTAGTTAGTAAAGTTACCTGCCCTTTTCCTATCATGAGACTGTAGAATTGTTTCTAAACTTCACATTATCTCTAAAGGATTCATCAAGAGTGCAAAGTACAGACTTATCTCCACTCATCTGATTTCTACACCCTGTGTCTAAATACCACAAGTTCTTGTTGGTTGACTCCCTTTCATGATAAACCATCAGCAATTAGATTCCTCCAACTTGCTCTTCCACCTTTTCTGCAAAATTGGATGCATCACCATGTGCATTTGGAAAATTTGATCAACATTCTGATTTGTAACGACCATACTTGTGACACCCATAGCATTCAACATTTGTCTTGTCTGTTGACTTTGCCTGATAACCACCTCGTCCCCTTCCTCTTTCTTGAGATTGGTTTCATTGATGCTGATTCTGTTGAATAATGTAGACTATGCCTTTTTATTTCTTAATGAATCCATAGTATAACTTTAATACCACAATTTAAGAATCTAAGCACTGGGCATTATTTTGATGGTCAATTCAGCTAACATTTGTTTTTCTTGACTGTGTAGCTTATGTTCTCGTGTTCTTCTCTCATTCCAACCGGTTACTATCTCTGATTGATGTCCCTAGACATTGCATAAAGATTGAAAATTTGGAAACCATTTTCTTAATGACACAAATAGGCGTTTTAAAATTTGCAAGGTAGAGTTACATGGAATAAATACCAAGCTATGTGCATAACACCTAATCTGAAAACATATAGAAAGAGTTTGATTCACAAGAAGACAACTCGAGAAAGGTACATTGAAGATTAAGCTGAATGACATAGCTCAGCAAAGAACAAGAGAGAGACCAACCAAAGTGAACATTTTTCCACAACCGAAACCATTATTCAAAGTATACACCAGCAGAAACAAAATACTGAACAGTATAGTAGCTACATGTCTCCAGTGTTTTTGTTGATAATCAATGCACTCAAAATATGAGTGATGAGTTGGTAATGTAGCACCCTCCACAACTTAATAAATATGGTCATTTAATAAAACAACAAACAAGAAAAAGAAAATCCTTAAGAGGGATTCTTAGCAGTAGTGCGATTGTGCTCAAATTGGCTACACAGAACTGACCATTTATAATCGATTTCATATAATTCTTGCCGAGCTTTTCTTTGATCTTCTGCCATTTGAGACATGTTATTGCTCATAGTATTACACTCTTTTTCGTACCCTATAGTTTCTTCAACAAATTTATTCTCTTTCTCTTCAAGTGATGATAATTCAGCTTTATAATCTTTTATTTCTTCCTCCAACCTATTCATCTGTTCCTTCAAAATTGCTTCCTTTTGTCGAGCTTCATCCATAAGATTCCTAGTCTTGGAAATATTGCAAGCAAGAGTAGTGGCTACCTCTTTTCGATGATCAAGTTCTTCCTTGATTGATTTCACTCTTTCTTCAAACACAACAAATTTGTTGGTGGTAGCAAAGGCTTGCTTGAAGGAACGTAGAATAATTGGAAACTCTTTGTGCAAAGATTCTATTATAGCTTTAAGTCCATCTGATAGGGTAACATGTTCTAAAGAAAGTCGAGACAAGAAGTTAAGAGCCGTCAGAAGACGAAGGCTATTAGTTTCAGAGCAAGCTATGTCCTTCATAGGCATCTTTAGAGACTCTTCAAGGTCAGCAAGGACCTTAACCACCAAGTTATCTTCGGTGACAACAGAAGCTGATAATTGGCCATCACCATCATACCTGAAGTCTTGAATATTTATAGGATGGCCTTCACTTTCTTTATTAGTGAGTGTCTCAGTTTCGCTTGGTCTCATTTCACTCTGGAAGAATACAAAGAAAAGAATAACAGAAAAAAGCATTAGCATTGAGACACATTTCTTGCCATGAAACAATTGTTTTGCTGCAACTTTGGATGGGAGCATAAGAAGTCTAATTTAAATTATGTCAATTTCTTGATCCTATTTTTATGGTAGATATTGGAATAACAAACAAAGAAACCTTATTATAAGCTTACCTTCATTCAAAAGGTAATTACATTTAATAAACTTACGTGTCGACATGATTCACTCGGAGGAGTAACTGACGGGTCTGGCTGTGAGCTAGTTGGTTTCAAAGGAGTTGACAACGTTGCCATCTTTGCCTCTTCAGATGCTCCTTCTTCAACACCTCTCTTAGTACTCTACAAGATCTAAGCTATAAGCTAGTTGGGACCAATGCACAGTTCTTCCAAACTATCCATATTTACAAGATCTAGTGCAACCAACTTGGAGAAGACATTTGGTGCAGCAGAATAATGATGCTTAGTGTTGACAAGGCATTGTACCTTGGAACAAGATCCCAAACTGAGCTCAATTAAATCATTCATGCCATTACCTTCCATTGGAACAATCTCAGGAATGAGATTTCTCCACTCCCTCTCAATTCTTCCCAGTTGAAGAATCTCTGCTCCTTGCACTAGATGCTTAAATGTTGCTTCAGAGACCAAAGCTTCAATATTTGGAGGACAGACAGCTTTTGATATTGAATCACGCACTTCCCCATTCTTTTGTAAACAATACCTATTCAATGTAAGAAATGTATTTTGATGATGAATTGCTTCAACTTCATCTGTAGTGTCAAGGATGGGAAATTCATTGTCAACGAAATACAGTTCTTCCAGTTGTAAGCACTTTTCAATCACTTCAAATGGGTTCTCCCTTTCAATTTCACAGTATACCATCTCCAACAGTCTCAGTTTCTCCAATTTTGTAATTGCAATTGGCAACTTCCGTATTGAACACCTACACAAAGAAAGAATCTCAAGGCTTGGCAGGATTACCAAGAAAGAGATGTCACCTAATTCCCAATCACCCAGCACAAGAGTTCGAATATTTGACAATGACTTGTCCGAAATTGACAGCGTCAGAGGAAGCTTTGACGTATCATTATGTGATAAATACAAAACTCCAAGCCTTGTCATTTTTTCAAAGAACGTATTTGGGACTTCTACAGGATCGCTTGCTTCCATGGATATCAATAGAAACTCAAGTTTGGAACCATCAAACCAACTAGGAAAGCTTTCCATGTCACCAACCTGCAAGTCCTCACAACACAAATATTGAATTCTCATCTCTTTATTGGCTAATGCCTTCCGTTTTTTCTCAGATAGCGAAATGAATTGAATGTCTCCATTAGCTATCAATAGGGCCACGTCACGAATCAAGTCATGCAACTTCACACGATTGTCCTCAGCATCCAACCATAAACAAGAATTTATGAGTTTATTTTTTACTGAAAGTACTTGGCTTCTGGCTTCAGAGTATTTGTCAACTTCCCCAAAAAAACCTGCCCCTATGCCAAATATAGTTAGAAGTTCTATAGGTACTTCTGTATCTGCTGGGAATACAGACAGTAAAAGAAAGAATCTTTTGGCTATTTCACTCTTCATATTTTCATAGCTATACCTTAAACTTTTATAAATATTTCTCAAATTTTCATCAACATCGAGCATGGGCATAGGATTTCTCAAGGCTGTCAAAGCTGCATCCCATTCTTCAAGGGGTCTATCATTCAAAGTGCTGGCTATGGCTGCTATGGCAACTGGTAAATTTTTACATTCATTTGTAATTTCCTGCCCTTTGTCCTGAAAATTTTTGGGCAAAACATCATCTACACCAGCATGCTTTCTGAATAGGATCCACGCATCTTGATCTGACAAAAGTCCCAGTTGAATTGGCCTTGGACATCCCATTGAATTACACACACTTACATTGCGTGAGGTCAAAAGAACTTTGCAATTATTGTGATTCTCACCAGAAGGAATCCCTATTTCTTCAAAACTAATCGGTTCCCACACATCATCTAACATTACTAGAATTTACTCTCCGTCAGTTAACCTCTGCCATAGTGTGTTGCGTCTTTCCCATTCATTTTTGTCTTTCAACGACAATCCTAAGGGTCCTGCAATACTATCTTGAATCTTTTTGATATCTGGAGCATCTGACACAGTTGTAAAGATGACATGATCAAACTTTCCAGATTTCTCAAGTTTTCTACCAACTTCTTTAGCAAGTGTAGTTTTTCCAGTTCCACCCATTCCTTGGAGTGCAATGATATACGTGTCCTCATCTGCCATTGCATCCAAAACCTGTTTGTATTCTAAATCTCTGCTTTCAAAATGAATGAAACTTTGTGAAGAATGGCTTTCTATGCCTGAAAGATGAGGAGCACGTCCAACACGGTCAAAGGTGGTTCCCTTGAGTCTTGTAATATCGTTTGTCATTTGTGTTAGTTCTTTGCCCCTATGATATCGCCAAATGCAATTAGGACACCATCCCCAAAAACAAGCCTTTTTTGCTTTGGTATCCTCATTAATGACCTTTTCAGCTTCTCCTTGCCAATGGGTAACATCATCATGAATTTCCTCAGTATTTCTTCTTGCATCTTCGACATCTTTGCATATGGTTTTCCATTTCGCTTCCAACGCTGGTTTTTCCTTTTCAAAGTCATCCACAATGCAATTGAAGCAGCAAACGTTACGAGTCTCATCTATTATGAGATTAGTTAGTCTCCCCACTATGTTGTTCGCACAATCAAGAAGGATACTCGTCATCTACAAAATGTTCCCCGTATGAATATTATTGATAAATAGTTTGGACATGAATATCATTTTTTCACTCACAATATACTAAATTTTAATTTTAGTTCTTATAAAATTATTTTGATTGTTCTAGTTCATTTATTTTTTAAAATCATTGATTTTAGTTCCTCTCACATGTGATTTTACTAAAAAAGCAACGCATGACAAAAAAAAATTTGATGTATGACAACATATGAGTTAATCATGTCATCATCTGTGAGTAATTAAAATTTAAAACTAATTATTTTTCAAAATATAAAGACTAAACAAAAACAATTTGTAAAATAAAAAAAACAATTTTTAATTAATAGTTAAATCAATCAATAAATATCCATTGCAATTATTTAAATAATTAAATAATATTTGTTGAAGTAGTATTAGGCTAATTATAAATATTTGAATCAATTGATTAATATCTACTTCAATTACTTAAGTTATTTAATTATTACAATAATTTTAAGAAATTAATTTTAATTCACTAACAGAATAAATTTTACTATCACTCATTATAAATTATCATATCAATAAGAATAATAAATTTTACATTAACTAATTTAAAAATCATATATACAGTATATTCTAATTTGTTGGCAGTAAAAAAAATTTACATTAACAATACATCAGATTAAACTCTACTTTTAAATCATTCTCTAAATATATAATGAATTTACAATATATATAAATTCTCCCATATATTATTGGTTTGTTTGCAGTAATTTATTTGGTTTACGTAGTTTTTTTTTTTTTTTTATCATTTCTCTTAGTTGATTTTTTTATTATTTGAGAATTTTGTTAAAACTTTAATTCTTTTGACCTTGCTAAATGATATATCTTCCATTGATATGTAATAAGTAGATCACATCTAGAAAATTTTATAAATTTTAAAAATCATTCTATATTTCATCAAGCAATTTTATTTTATTGTATATGTATATATAATATATTTAATATATACATGTGTATACACACAGGAGAGCCACATACAGATCATATGTAATTTAAATAATTTTTTACTTAAAATTAGGTCAAACTGAATCCCAAACACCAGTTTGTAACGATAACTCTTGATATCATGCGAAGCAGAGGGAACATGAGAAGCATTGAACTATGTATTCATGCTTCAAATATGACATAAAAAATAAGCAAAGAATAGGCAAAGTTTACCTCTGTGTGAGAATATTGTTGCTACTTACGACTTTACAATTCTGAAGGAAGAGCGAAGATCCACAACTGCAACGAAGGAGCAAAATTGACGAAGAAAAACTCAATCTCAGCAATGTCAAGTTAATCAATTATTGTTTTGATATGCTTTATCTGCAACCACAAAAAATAAATAAATAAAAATCTCAAATAATATTATACTTTAATAAAAATTAATAAATTTTATTTAATTTGTTAAATATATCCTAATTCAAGGACTTAATTAAAATTTTTAAAGTAAAATAACTTATTTAAGAATTCTTAAATAATTCAAAAACTGAGATGTTAGTTTAACTTTTATTAATCTATTTGTTCAATAAATTACTAAAACAAAAATAATACTTACACGTTACAACATGGGCAACTTCCTTCCATTTTCTCCTTTTATAATTTATTTTTTGATAAATTACATTCACATGTTCTAAAGTTTTAAAAATAGTCATACAATATTTCTCTTTTTTTATTATATTATTTTGACTTCCCTTAACTTATACTACATAAAAAGTAGCAGAGGTTAATATTATCAATAGTGGTTTTGAATAATTAAGCAGGTGACACATTATATAAGACACACTAGTAAAAATTTTATTTTATCTAATACTATTATATTACTAATTTTATGCCATATAAGCTGCATACATATAACGAATAAATTTGTAGTTTATATATCTTAGTTGTAGTGATTGTAACACCCTCTTCTCATTTTTCTTGAAATTGGTGTAGAATTACTATAAATGGGTGTTGATTAGTGTTGGAATGTGTTTGGTAGGGTTTTGGAAGGATTTTGGACGAGTTTGGAGGTGTTGGTTGCAGAGGATCTCGCCCAAGCAAGCTGGGGTCGCCCAGGCGAGCACTCACAGGGTGAAAAACTTGCTCTCGGGTCCTCATCTCGCTCAAGCGAAGTGGAACTCGCTCAAGCGAGCGTATCAGAAAGAGAAGGTTCGAGAATCTGTCTGCAGATCTCGCTCAAGCGAGATCATGGTTGCTCAAGCGAGATATCGTCGCTCAAGCGAGACGCGCGGGGTCTGAGTCTATTTAAGGAATTTCCAGCATGGAAATTCATTCTAAAACATAAAACACGAATCCTCTCTCATTTTCTCTGACTTCTCTCTCCTTTTTACCAAAATTCAAGCCGTAGAAACGTTGTGGACTAGTTGGAACTTAAGCTCTAGACGATCTAAGGTGAGTTTCTATGGTAAAAACCTTAGTTTTACCGTTTGTTTGGTTTTTGGATCCTGACGTATATCTCTTAATACTCAGGCTATCTTCGGTTTAAAAGTTTCACTCCTTTACTAAAGTGTTTTGTAAGCTTGTCACCGAGGTAAGGAGAACTCTATTTTGTCATTTGGTTAAATTAGGATTTTAAGCTCATAGAGCAAGATTGTGAGAGAATGGGAGAATATTAGCTGAATATGAGACTTGATATATGATGTATGGCTGAGAACATGCTTGTCTAAATATTTTGGATTGATTTGGTTGTTGGGTCAAAATGGCCGATACATGCATATTTGCTTTGTGTGGTAAATGTATGTTATGAGATTTTGCTAAGTAATATGCTGTAATGTGATCTGTTGGAATGAGATTGTATGAAATGATATGAAATCTGAGTGTGAATATGAAATGCTATTGAATTGATATAGAAGAAGGCATGTATGATATGAGTGGAAAAAGATTTAGTCTAGAAGTGCTTTACTAAGCACGATCTGATAAGAGGAAATGCTGAGATTGACTCTAAGAGTCGAGTATGGAAAATCTAGTGTGAATAGTTACAGAGATACACTAGAGGTATAAAGTCTAGAGACGAAGTGATTCTTGGGGAAATGAGGGTGGTGAGCAACATTCGCGTCGTGTACACATTCTGTGATAGCGCCACATGGCCTCACACTTGTTTCTTGACTAGACTCTTGACTATATCCTTGCTAAGGGGCCCGTATATTGTACTTGTTGTATCCTTGTACATGGGTTAACCGGCAACTATTTATCTAGTTGAATAAGACCTCGGAAATGCTGGAGGTATCGTTTCTGTGATCACAGTGCACTGGGAGTGCTTAGTGGAATTTGAAATGAGAGAATGAGTGGATGATCTGCTAATTGTATATTTGTGGCACGAGATTTTGCTGTGTGATGTTTTATTGTTATATATGATTGTGTGATAATGTGTTTGCAAATAGATGCTCATCCTTACTGAAATTTTCAGGGAATCAGGATGACGGACCCTTGACCCAGAGTTAGGATTGTAGAGAGTGACCTAATTTCTGGTGTAAACATGGTGTTTAATGAACACCAAAGTGTAGATTATAGTAAATTTGTTGTTTGTTTGCATAATGACCCTAATATAGAGGTTATCATAGAGACCCACTTTTCTCTTAGCACTCCTTTAGATTTTTCCAACAACAGGATACATCAAACAGGGGTACAGTTCGACCCCAAGAGTCATCTCTTATGTCTATGAGTTCCATGATTATGACCCGTTTGGGAATCCCACTAGATGGACCGTTACCCGGGAAACCGGGACGAAAGTTGTGGCTGATCCCAGTGATAGTTATTTGGGTCGGGATGAAGACTTTGACTCTACTGAGATCGCTGCATTAGAGGGTTTGGACTCCGAGGAAAATTAGTGCTACGACTTCTCTGGGATCTTTTTTGTAGTATCTACTAGTGTAAATTTTGGAATATTGTATATTTTGAAGAACAATTGGTAAATTATTGTAATTAATGTATGCACAGTTACTTTATTTAAAAGTTTTGTTTATGTTCAGTTTTTATTTATAAACGAAATGCTGATGAACTATTTTATTGTATAAATGGGATTGATTTAACAGTTAAATTATACGTGTGTACGGACATTTGAACGAAGGATGTTACAGTGATTCTTGTCTTAAATAGCACTAAATTTTTTGTGACATCGATTTGGTATGTTCAAACCCCAACGGCATCAAGATAGCTTTTAAATCTTACTTTTAATTATAATACTATATTATTTTAATTATAATAAACGGAAAATTTTGGGTCACTGTTGAGTTAAAAATATCATTTTAACTTTTAGGAGCAAAATATTGCTATAAAATGTTTTAACAATATAATAATAAACGGTAAAACGCTCTTTTTTAGATTTAATGAAACCATAGTATAATTTTAATACCACAATTTAAGAATCTAAGCACTGGGCATTATTTTGATGGTCAATTCAGTTAACATTTGTTTGATCTTGACTGCTTTGCTTATGTTCTCGTGTTCTTCTCTCATTCCAAGCGGTTACTATCTCTGATTGATACCCCTAGACATTACATAAGGATTGAAAATTCGGAAACCATTTTCTTAATGACAACACAAATAGGCGTTTTAAAATTTGCAAGGTAGGGTTACATGGAATAAATACCAAGCTATGTGCATAACACCTAATCTCAAAACATATAGAATTAGTTTGATTCACAAGACGACAACTCGAGAAAGGTACATTCAAGATTAAGCTGAATGACATAGCTCAGCAACGAACAAGAGAGAGACCAAGCTAAGTGAACATTTTTCCACGACTGAAACCATTATTCAAAGCATACACCAGTAGAAACAAAATACTGAACAGTATAGTAGCTACATGTCTTCAGTGTTTTTGTTGATAATCAATGCACACAAAATATGAGTGATGAGTTGGTAATGTAGCACCCTCCACAACTTAATAAATATGGTCATTTAATAAAACAACAAACAAGAAAAAGAAAATCCTTAAGAGGGATTCTTAGCAGTAGTGCGATTGTGCTCAAATTGGCTACACAGAACTGACCATTTATAATCGATTTCATATAATTCTTGCCGAGCTTTTCTTTGATCTTCTGCCATTTGAGACATGTTATTGCTCATAATATCACACTCTTTTTCGTACCCTATAGTTTCTTCAACAAATTTATTCTCTCTCTCTTCAAGTGATGATAATTCAGCTTCATAATCTTTTATTTCTTCCTCCAACCTATTCATCTGTTCCTTCAACATTGCTTCCTTTTGTCGAGCTTCATCCATAAGATTCCTAGTCTTGGAAATATTGCAAGCAAGAGTAGTGGCTACCTCTTTTCGATGATCAAGTTCTTCCTTGATTGATTTCACTCTTTCTTCAAACACAACAAATTTGTTGGTGGTAGCAAAGGCTTGCTTGAAGGAACGTAGAATAATTGGAAACTCTTTGTGCAAAGATTCTATTATAGCTTTAAGTCCATCTGATAGGGTAACATGTTCTAAAGAAAGTCGAGACAAGAAGTTAAGAGCCGTCAGAAGACGAAGGCTATTAGTTTCAGAGCAAGCTATGTCCTTCATAGGCATCTTTAGAGACTCTTCAAGGTCAGCAAGGACCTTAACCACCAAGTTATCTTCGGTGACAACAGAAGCTGATATTTGGTCATCACCATCATACCTGAAGTCTTGAATATTTATAGGATGGCATTCACTTTCTTTATTTGTGAGTGTCTCAGTTTGGCTTGGTCTTATTTCACTCTGGAAGAATACAAAGAAAAGAATAACAGAAAAAAGCATTCGCATTGAGCCACATTACTTGCCATGAAACAATTGTTCTGCTACAACTTTGGATGGAAGCATAAGAAGTCTAATTTAAATTATGTCAATTTCTTGATCCCATTTTAATGGTAGATATTGAATAACAAACAAAGAAACTTTATTATAAGATTACCTACATTCAAAAGGTAATTACATTCAATAAACTTACGTATCGATATGATTCACGCTGAGGAGTAACTGACGGGCCTGGCTGTGAGCTAGTTGGTTTCAAATGAGTTGACAAAGTTGCCATCTTTGCATCTTCAGATGCTCCTTCTTCAACACCTCTCTCGGTACTCTGCAGATCAGCAAAAAATAAAAACATACACACTTTCATAGTTTCATTAACATTTTAAAATTCAAAAAGCGTATTAGTGGGATGATCAGAGGACAAAGTTGCAGTTATGGTTTTCTCAGATTTAGAATCCTCTTGAGTACTTTGCTCCACTATTTCTTGGAGAGACTGTTAAATGAAGATAGCAAAGACCATAAAACATAAAACAGAACCATAAAAACAGTATAAGGAGAAGAGTGGAAAGGGAAGTACAGAGCTATTTTCGTTTTTGCTGCATAACTTTTCTGTTCTGCTATTATGCATTGATATTTAAGTAAAAATACATCAGTAAAAATATCTCATCATAATACTCATACATGCTGCAGCAAAAAGGGCATGCACCCACTAATATTAAGAGTGCAAATCTGTCCAAAATACAAGCAAATTAAAACCACCAATCATAACATTGCTTACTGACACACACAAACATACTGCAGTAAGTAAATATAATTAAAATAGTAAATAGTAATTAAAAATTTTTACAGCCCATTAAATTTAACAGAGACTGTAACTGTAGAGCACAAAAATGTAATTAAGTTGCAGACTTGGTGTTTATTTCTGAAATGTACATTTGCAGTACAAATGAATAAGCTTGTTAATTTATGATGATTAACATTATATTTATTTATGATAACTAAGGATTTACCTTGTATTTATGAGAGTTACTAGTATTTCTTTCGAATTTGACAATATGTCCACTGCAGGCTTCTATTCTAAATTTTACTTTGGTTGTTTTTGTTGGTATCTCTTTTCAACAAATTATGAATGAAAGATTATTGTGAGATTTTTCAGTGTTCTTGGACTCTTATTTCCATTTCAACTATTCATTTACTTTGAAATTCATTATAGTAAATTTATAGTCATGTGATTTTACATAATACATAATACACGAGGAATTTCAACAATACATAGGGTTTCTCCAAATGGCTTCTGTTGCTTTATCATACATGATTCAGCCATTGATTGCCCATCCATCAATTGCCATAAGAAGTAAAAGATAATAGTAAAAGCATTATCCTCAATACAGAGAAGAGGTTATAGTAGACTATTAGCAGTCAAGCAAGTTAAAAAAGGTGAAAATGTTTTCTTTCATCAGCTCCTAAAGTTTTGTTTTAGATACAAATACATAGCATGGACACTTGGATAAAAAAGAACAGGTAAACAAGTAAGGTAAGACACTTCCAAGGATATTACACTATGTCAGAATACATGTGTGATATCATATCAATATCTAATAAAATAAAATTACACATGACAAAATCATGGCGTATGTAAAAAATTTCAACATTAAGATAGACTCACATTTGAGTGTGGTTTAGGCAGAGGAATATCCGGGGGACTTGGAGTAATCAAATCTGAATGCGTTTGTGAAGCTGCTATTGATGGCCTCTCTGAAATAGAAGCTCTTCTAATAAATTCCTTCTCTAGTACTTCGTTTCTTTGAGTCACAATGTTGTCAATGGAGACAACAACAATTTCTCCCTCTTTGTCAATCAAGTTGGAACTCTCTGGAACGCATTCTTTTGCTGATGCCTCAATACTCTATACAAGAGAAAAGGGACGAATACATTTTAAGTTGTTTTGATGTTATATATAGCTTAGAAAAAGACCACTCTTATAATGTAATGTATATCTTAAGGTGGTATGAAAGCTATTTAAGCAATGTCTAAGGTTACTATTGTTTCTCTAAGCGCATGTTGTTGGTCTAGAAAATTTGGATCACTGGTTGACTGGCGATCCTTGATGTTCTTTTTGAAATATTTAACAAGCATGAAAAGAATTAGTTTTGAACTATTTCTAAAATTTCATTTTAAAGTCAATTAGTTTATAAACTTACAAGCGAAGTCAGAGGAGCTGCTATTGTTGATTTCATTGGTGTTGGATCTTTTCCAATAATGGTTATCTCTTTTTCATTGAGTTGTGAAGAAGGTAGCTCATTTTCTGAGGTTGCAAGATCTTTATGTTTCATTTGAGGCTGAAAAGTGATTTTTGCAATAAGATCCCACTCTTATGGAAAATAATAAATCAGAAACAAGTTGTAAAACATGCTTAAATCAGAATGAAGCAATTGCATACAACTAACTTACAAGTTCATTTGATTTATGCCGAGAAGTAACTAATGGGCCTAACTGTGATCTAGTTGATTCTGAATCAGTGGACGTTATGATTTCATCTGATGTACTTTCTTCTTCAACACCTGTTTCATTAATCTGCAAAAATCCAAAATCCATGTTACTTCGTAGTGTTCTTCCATTCCTATGATAAAAAATGACAACAAGGATATATAGGGGACAAGACATTGTCCAGGTGGCGTATTGTGTTTCTAAATTGGAGGTTTGCAGTGAGATCTCTAAGTCAGAACCCTTTTGCATACCTTATTCCTTGGTTATTATATTATACTTCAACTATTCATTTCCCATTAATTTTTCGTAGAATGTACAAATTTTAATGACTGGTGGTATAACATTATTTACCTCAGAAATTTCAAGTTTGCTTTCAATTTCATTGAGTGGCATTTGTTGGTTCATAAGAAAATGTTCAGACATTGATTGTCCATCCGCTAATTCCTATATGTAGCAATGGATAGATGCAAAGTAATTAGTTCTGTGCCTTTCATTTCGTTTCCTCAAAGATGGAGAAGATTTGTTAGTAAACTCACTATTGAAATTGTTTGAGAAATAGCCGAAGGACTTCCAGATGGCCTGTCAATCGGTTCAATTTCAGAAAATTTCGAAGGAAACTCTTCCTTTGATTCTTCACCAATCTGAGAAACACCAAAACATACAGATAGAGAAACTCAGTAAGTCAATTTTGTTAATAAATTCAGCAATGCCATTTGGTACGAAAGCTTTTGTACTTAAGTTACAAATGTCCCTAATAATCATGACCTACTTAATAAGTGTAAAATTTGAACCGTAAATTACTAGATGACAAAAGCAAATGCTTTTCACTTTTCTTTTTCATAAGGCAACACATTTTTATGATCTAACATTTTTCTAATAAAGTTAATTCCAGATGGCAAGGATTATTTTCGAATTAATTAAATGAATGATAAACAACGGTGCCAAAAAGTGGGTGGTTAGCTATTAGCAGTGGATATATTGTATACCTTTGTAAAGTTTTTTGAAGCAATGGATGAGTCGTTTGATTTGATGTAATCATTGTTATAATTGTCTATTAATTAGATATTGCATAGATTGATTTGCACTGACCTTAGATGAGGGCAACATACTTCCTGAAGTTCCTTCGGTGTCGATGTCAACTAGACGGTCAGCGGTGACTTCCTCTATTCCTCGAAGAAGAATGTAAAATATTTCAAGAATATTAAACCCAATCAATTGCACGCCTATAAAACACATACACACACAAGGACTCCATTAGACAGTGAAAAGAAAAAAAAATTGTAACATCGACCTTGAAATATGGAACATTAATCATTACTTTAACATTTAACGTTATAAAATAATTTAGATAGTTCCACAGTAGCATATGGTGACTCTATGTCTAAGTGATCATAATCTTAATTCCTTTATTCTTCATAATTAAATTATTCATGCTTTTAGTGAAGAAGCATATTAACAAAAAGGAAAGAAAAGAAATTACAATTTATGTGATTATGCTGACTTAGACTTTGAGAATAATATAATTTGTTTGTTTGAGAAGAATCAAATGAGTGTTTGGGCGTAAATGAAGTAAATATTTTCTAAGGTTTTATTTGGGTGTAAATAGGATACGCAAATTGTTTGTGAAGTGGGAGAAGATTTGCTTCAAAATTGCAGTAATAGATGTACAACCATCCGTATGATAGGAGACTTATTTCAAATGTGTTATTCTATGAAAAGCTTAGATGATTAGTTGCAAAATTATCGAAGTATACACATTTACATCAAAATAACAAAACTAAAACATCATTTTTGTCAAAACTGTGTAGTGATGCATGATAAGGAATGATGTATTGTATTATTTACCTTCCAAATCAGAAGCTATTTTGTAAAGCTTCTCAGGAGAAGTAGTTGAAGTCAAAGAGAAATTTGGACAATTGTAGACAATACGATGCCTTATGGTCTGCATTGTTTCAACCTCAAGACAAAGCCTTAACAGATGCCTAAATATCACCGCTCTTAATTTGGGAAACTTAACTTCCACCCTCCCCATCTCACCATCACCTTGTCCTTGTTCATATCCAATCAGTTCTTCTAGCTCTGAGGCTCCATTTACTATTAAAATTTCCAGGTTGGGAAAATCATTGGATGCGGAGCTGGAGACAGAAACCAAACGTTTCAACTTGTTGCATTGTCGGATGATGAGTACTGCTAGCTTTGGGAAGCATGCTTGTGTAGACAATTTCTGATTCTCTACATTCTTTTCAACTAATTCCTTTAATTCTTCGCATTCTGTTATATGTAGTATTTTCAACTCTGGTAGACATCTTGAAATTGAAGCAGTAAAGATTAATTCCAATTTTGCACATCCCTCTATTATTAATCTTTCAAGATGTTGGAAGGTAAAAGAATTTTTGGAAGCCACGCAAATACGCTTCATCTCCGCTAGATTCAACAACTGTAGGATTTTTAATGTTGTGCTCAATGGTTGTTCAATTTTCTGATGTTCATCTATATGAAAAATACTTTCTACTCCGGTGGCACTTATGCATAGAGTTTCCAAATTGAGCAAGCGCTTCTCACCCTCCCTTGTGTCCTATAAAGCAAGGCGATAAAAAATGTATAAAAGAAATTAGTGTACAAGAAAAGAAAGGAAAATTAAAAACAGTTATAAAAATGAAAAGAATAAAATAAAATTGGTATCTGGTAGTTAATAGTCATTTTAAATTTTATATTATATCATCATAACTTGATATATCATCAACAGATTTATTTTAACTTGCCTTTGTCTCAAACCATTCCTCATCTTTTCATAACACATATTTAGATAATTCAGTAAATAGCAGTAAAGTCACATTGTTGCTTTTACTTATATTTTATTTTTAAATAATCCCTTCACTATAAAATCACATTTACTTTTAAAATTTAATCTTTATTGTACACACATTTTTTTTTATATTATCATCTAAATTATATAATATAGATTGGCAATATTGTTAGAGATAATTTTTTTTAATTATGAAAATTTCTTTATAAATAAATGAAAATATTGTTGGATTTTTTTTTTCATTCAACACTTTTATTCCGCAATATGCTCCTACAAAATAATTAAATATAATGCCAAAAATTTAAAAGGTTTATGTAAATATAAAAATATAATATTGAAAATATAAAAAAAAATGTTAGAAACTTAGATAATTATTAATTTATAATTTATTATAAACAATTCATCAAAAATAATATTTATATCATAATACGTGTATTTTTCAGTAGAATTAACGATATCAAATGCAACCTTTTTAATAAAGTTATGATTAAAATTTAATACATGAAGAGAAATTTTTTTGAAGTATTTTATTAAATATTAAATATTTCTCACCTACTCTGTAATAATATCAAATTGTTGTCTAATTGTATATTATTCAGATAAGAACATTGGAATTGTTTATGAAATCCAAAAAAAAGATAAATGAGGAAAAAAAGCTAAGAGTTTAGGAAAAAGAAAAACATGGGACACTAACCAACTAAATTATTTTATATTAATTATTTATTGACTTAGTCTATGTTATTTGAGCACTTCAAATCTAACCAAGAAATTCAAGAAATACCTTGTTGGTTGTTCTATGGAGCTGTCTTGAATACAAAGACATCACCAAATCAGTAACAGAGTTATATTGGGGACATGTATCCAACCCGAAATGCTTTAAAGATGGCAATGAGACAACATAGCTTCTGGGACAGATGTTGATCATTTTCGATAGTCTTATGAGGGTAAGTTCTTCCAAAGCTGGGAAATCCATGTGAAATTCTAGATTGCGACCATCATCCTCGTGATGGTTTGGTCCAATCACATATTCCAACTGGTCACATCCCCGGATAGAAATTTCTTTTAATTTTGGGAAGATTGAGGTGCAATTCTTGCGATCTTCATCATGTCTCATGCTTGTTATTACGTGCTTCAATCCATCACATGAATCAATCCTCAAACTCTCCAGCAACATTGTTGAAGTAATAGAAAAAGTGAACAATGATATCACTTTTGGACAAAATATTGAGCAAGCGTTGTGAATGCCTCGAAAGAGACCGAGCAATCTCAGAAGTCTGAACACATTCTGAGCTTGATGGCTGAAATCCCAACAAAATACATATTTTAGTGATCATTAAACCAATTCCAATTCAATGAATAACTCGTTCGTAACTTTTATCTTATTGTTCATTAAGTTTCTTTATGCAAATTTGGATGCGTGTATTTATAATTGATTAGTGTAAGAGTACTTACACTGCTGAAAGAAGATCATGTCCCTATAAATAATATTATATTAATTATTTATTGACTGAGTCTATGTTATTTGAGCACTTTAAATCTAACCAAGAAATTCAAGAAATGAGATAAATACCTTGTTGGTTGTGCTATGGAGCTGTCTTGAATACAAAGACATCATCGAATCAGTAACAGAGTTATATTGGGGACATGTATCCAACTCAAATTTCTTTAAAGATGGCAACGAGACAACATAGCTTGTGGGACAGATGTTGATAATTTTTGATAGTCTTATGAGGGTAAGTTCTTCCAAAGCTGGGAAATCCGTGTGAAATTCTAGATTGCGACCATCATCCTCGTGATGGTTTGGTCCAATCACATATTCCAACTGGTCACATCCCCGGATAGAAATTTCTTTTAATTTTGGGAAGATTGAGTTGCAATTCTTGCGATCTTCATCATGTCTCATGCTTGTTATTACGTGCTTCAATCCATCACATGAATCAATCCTCAAACTCTCCAGCAACATTGTTGAAGTAATAGAAAAAGTGAACAATGATATCACTTTTGGACAATTCTTTAGTTCCATGTATCTAATATTGAGCAAGCGTTGTGAATGCCTCGAAAGAGACCGAGCAATCTCAGAAGTCTGAACACATTCTGAGCTTGATGCCTGAAATCCCAACAAAATACATATTTTAGTGATCATTAAACCAATTCCAATTCAATGAATAACTCGTTCGTAACTTTTATCTTATTGTTCATTAATTTTCTTTATGCAAATTTGGATGCGTGTATTCATAATTGATTAGTGTAAGAGTATTTACACTGCTGAAAGAAGATCATGTCCCTATAAATAATATTATATTAATTATTTATTGACTGAGTCTATGTTATTTGAGCACTTCAAATCTAACCAAGAAATTCAAGAAATGAGATAAATACCTTGTTGGTTGTGCTATGGAGCTGTCTTGAATACAAAGACATCATCGAATCAGTAACAGAGTTATATTGGGGACATGTATCCAACTCAAATTTCTTTAAAGATGGCAACGAGACAACATAGCTTGTGGGACAGATGTTGATAATTTTTGATAGTCTTATGAGGGTAAGTTCTTCCAAAGCTGGGAAATCCGTGTGAAATTCTAGATTGCGACCATCATCCTCGTGATGGTTTGGTCCAATCACATATTCCAACTGGTCACATCCCCGGATAGAAATTTCTTTTAATTTTGGGAAGATTGAGGTGCAATTCTTGCGATCTTCATCATGTCTCATGCTTGTTATTACGTGCTTCAATCCATCACATGAATCAATCCTCAAACTCTCCAGCAACATTGTTGAAGTAATAGAAAAAGTGAACAATGATATCACTTTTGGACAATTCTTTAGTTCCATGTATCTAATATTGAGCAAGCGTTGTGAATGCCTCGAAAGAGACCGAGCAATCTCAGAAGTCTGAACACATTCTGAGCTTGATGGCTGAAATCCCAACAAAATACATATTTTAGTGATCATTAAACCAATTCCAATTCAATGAATAACTCGTTCGTAACTTTTATCTTATTGTTCATTAAGTTTCTTTATGCAAATTTGGATGCGTGTATTTATAATTGATTAGTGTAAGAGTACTTACACTGCTGAAAGAAGATCATGTCCCTATAAATAATATTATATTAATTATTTATTGACTGAGTCTATGTTATTTGAGCACTTTAAATCTAACCAAGAAATTCAAGAAATGAGATAAATACCTTGTTGGTTGTGCTATGGAGCTGTCTTGAATACAAAGACATCATCGAATCAGTAACAGAGTTATATTGGGGACATGTATCCAACTCAAATTTCTTTAAAGATGGCAACGAGACAACATAGCTTGTGGGACAGATGTTGATAATTTTTGATAGTCTTACGAGGGTAAGTTCTTCCAAAGCTGGGAAATCCGTGTGAAATTCTAGATTGCGACCATCATCCTCGTGATGGTTTGGTCCAATCACATATTCCAACTGGTCACATCCCCGGATAGAAATTTCTTTTAATTTTGGGAAGATTGAGTTGCAATTCTTGCGATCTTCATCATGTCTCATGCTTGTTATTACGTGCTTCAATCCATCACATGAATCAATCCTCAAACTCTCCAGCAACATTGTTGAAGTAATAGAAAAAGTGAACAATGATATCACTTTTGGACAATTCTTTAGTTCCATGTATCTAATATTGAGCAAGCGTTGTGAATGCCTCGAAAGAGACCGAGCAATCTCAGAAGTCTGAACACATTCTGAGCTTGATGCCTGAAATCCCAACAAAATACATATTTTAGTGATCATTAAACCAATTCCAATTCAATGAATAACTCGTTCGTAACTTTTATCTTATTGTTCATTAATTTTCTTTATGCAAATTTGGATGCGTGTATTCATAATTGATTAGTGTAAGAGTATTTACACTGCTGAAAGAAGATCATGTCCCTATAAATAATATTATATTAATTATTTATTGACTGAGTCTATGTTATTTGAGCACTTCAAATCTAACCAAGAAATTCAAGAAATGAGATAAATACCTTGTTGGTTGTGCTATGGAGCTGTCTTGAATATAAAGACATCATCGAATCAGTAACAGAGTTATATTGGGGACATGTATCCAACTCAAATTTCTTTAAAGATGGCAACGAGACAACATAGCTTGTGGGACAGATGTTGATAATTTTTGATAGTCTTATGAGGGTAAGTTCTTCCAAAGCTGGGAAATCCGTGTGAAATTCTAGATTGCGACCATCATCCTCGTGATGGTTTGGTCCAATCACATATTCCAACTGGTCACATCCCCGGATAGAAATTTCTTTTAATTTTGGGAAGATTGAGTTGCAATTCTTGCGATCTTCATCATGTCTCATGCTTGTTATTACGTGCTTCAATCCATCACATGAATCAATCCTCAAACTCTCCAGCAACATTGTTGAAGTAATAGAAAAAGTGAACAATGATATCACTTTTGGACAATTCTTTAGTTCCATGTATCTAATATTGAGCAAGCGTTGTGAATGCCTCGAAAGAGACCGAGCAATCTCAGAAGTCTGAACACATTCTGAGCTTGATGCCTGAAATCCCAACAAAATACATATTTTAGTGATCATTAAACCAATTCCAATTCAATGAATAACTCGTTCGTAACTTTTATCTTATTGTTCATTAATTTTCTTTATGCAAATTTGGATGCGTGTATTCATAATTGATTAGTGTAAGAGTATTTACACTGCTGAAAGAAGATCATGTCCCTATAAATAATATTATATTAATTATTTATTGACTGAGTCTATGTTATTTGAGCACTTCAAATCTAACCAAGAAATTCAAGAAATGAGATAAATACCTTGTTGGTTGTGCTATGGAGCTGTCTTGAATACAAAGACATCATCGAATCAGTAACAGAGTTATATTGGGGACATGTATCCAACTCAAATTTCTTTAAAGATGGCAACGAGACAACATAGCTTGTGGGACAGATGTTGATAATTTTTGATAGTCTTATGAGGGTAAGTTCTTCCAAAACTGGGAAATCCGTGTGAAATTCTAGATTGCGACCATCATCCTCGTGATGGTTTGGTCCAATCACATATTCCAACTGGTCCCCGGATAGAAATTTTTTTTAATTTTGGGAAGATTGAGTTGCAATTCTTGCGATCTTCATCATGTCTCATGCTTGTTATTACGTGCTTCAATCCATCACATGAATCAATCCTCAAACTCTCCAGCAACATTGTTGAAGTAATAGAAAAAGTGAAAAATGATATCACTTTTGGACAATTCTTTAGTTCCATGTATCTAATATTGAGCAAGCATTGCGAATGCCTCGAAAGAGACCGAGCAATCTCAGAAGTCTGAACACATTCTGAGCTTGATGCCTGAAATCCCAACAAATACATGTTTTATTGTTCATTAAACCAATTCCAATTCAATGAATGACTCGTTCGTAACTTTTATCTTATTGTTCATTAATTTTCTTTATGCAAATTTGGATGCTGACACACTCTAGTAATGACAAAATCCTATAATATCCATACATTATATATTAATTACATAGCATAGCAAGTATTAGAATCAATCAGATCTCAAATATATATTGTTAATTGTAAGTACAAAATATTAGGATTGCACAATTGAACAAGTTAGGAAGAATACCTTTGCTTTTTCGTGATCCAATTGTCTTGTATCTGAATCAACCATTAAATCATTGAGAGATGTTAGTGCAAACAGGGGACATCCATTCACATACAACTCTTTCAAAGATGGCAAAGTCACGGACAACGAATTTTGGCGGCAAATGCTGATGAAAATTGGTAGCTCGTAAAGACGAAGTGTTTCCAAAGCTGGAAAATCAATATGAATCTTCGTATACTTTTGATGATGCAGAAGATATTGATCAAACATATATTCCAATTGGCCACAATTGTACACTGAGAAAGCCTTTAAGTTTGGAAATATAACATCGCTGTTCCTTCCATCACAGTCATCTCCAAAGTCTATTATATGCTTCAGTCCGGAACATGCATCAATTCTCAAATTTTCCAACAACATTAACGATGCAGTGGATAAAGTAAATAGGTAATTTACCTTATCAAGACCTACTAGTTCAATCTTTCTAGTGTTGCGAAAAATCGACATACTCAGTCCTTGTGATTGTTTTGAAACACATTGAAGACTCTCAGCAGAGCGAGGAAATGATTTTGATACCTACAGATCATACGAAAAGATTCTTTATAAACCAAACCACATAGTATCATAATTAAGTAATAATTATTAATTAATGTAAATTTAACTATTCTTCTTTCCATTGGTTTCAAATTTCAATGCTAATATTTAAGGTTGGGATAGTAGTTAAGTAAAACGTGGTTGTAAAAATATACAATAAATAAAATAAAAAAACAGAGAGAGAACACTTTACCGAAGAAGTAGAGCGATCTATTTGAGCAGTCATGGAAACCGCAGGCATTTTGATACTTGTGTCATTCCTCAATTTTCCTTCATTTCTTCTACGACCACAACATAAATAGGATTGGAAAATCATTTTTCGTTTGCTGAGGTTTATTTGTTTTGCCTTGGAACCAATTCTTGAAAATGACCTCTTCTTTGATGAAGAAGATGTAAGAGGGTAACATTCTATAGAAATGCATGTGAAATTTGACAAGCCGCGAAGTTCCATTTCTTGCAATGAACCAAGTACGACATCTTGGTCTTCATGTTGGCAACCACCAAACATGTGTTTCAACTCGCCACAATCAACTATTGTGATAGTTTCCAATATTGGAATGTCCACAGGAGAAAGGACTGAAAGAATACATTCTAATCGATCACATTTTTTAATCTCAAGGATTTTTAATTTTGGAAACACTGAGCCATCGCTCTTGTGATCATTTTTGCCATCTAACCTTTCTTTTTTTTTGTCCTTTGATCCTTCACCTGCTATTATGTTTGTCAATTGGTCACATTTGCGTATTCTCAATTCCTCTAACAGAACTAAACTTCGAGCAGTGAATGGTGGAAATAGGGATGCCCACTTTGGACAACTTACCAGTTCCAGGATCTTGAGATGGCGAAGGTCAAGCTTGTTCAACTGTTCTCGTAAATTCTTACACTGTTCTATGTTCAGCCTCTGTAAACTCTTTAGAAATTCAGAAGGAATGGGACCAATGCACAGTTCTTCCAAGCTATCCATATTTACAAGATCTAGTGCAACCAACTTGGAGAAGACATTTGGTGCAGCAGAATAATGATGCTTAGTGTTGACAAGGCATTGTACCTCTGAACAAGATTCCAAACTGAGCTCAATTAAATCATTCATGCCATTACCTTCCATTGGAACAATCTCAGGAATGAGATTTCTCCACTCCCCCTCAATTTCTTCCAGTTGAAGAACTTCTGCTCCTTGCACTAGAGCCTTAAATGTTGCTTCAGAGACCAAAGCTTCAATATTTGGAAGACAGACAACTTTTGATCTTGAATCACGCACTGCCGAATTCCTTTGTAAACAATACCTATTCAATGTAGGAAATGTCGTATTTAGATGATGAATTGCTTCAACTTCATCTGTAGTATCAAGGATTAGAAGTTTATTGTCAACGAAATACAATTCTTCCAGTTGTAAGCATCTTTCAATCACTTCAAATGGGTTATTCCTTTCAATTTCACAGTCTTCCATCTCCAACAGTCTCAGTTTCTCCAATTTTGTAATTGCAATTGGCAACTCCCTTATTGAACAACTACTCAAAGAAAGAATCTCAAGCCTTGGCAGGATTACCAAAAAAGAGATGTCACCTAATTCCCAATCAGCCAGCACAAGAGTTCGAATATTTGTCAATGACTTGTCCGAAATTGACAGCGTCAGAGGAAGCTTTGACGTATCATCATGTGTTAAATACAAAACTCCAAGCCTTGTCATTTTTTCAAAGAACGTATTTGGGACTTCTACAGGATCGCTTGCTTCCATGGATATCAATAGAAACTCAAGTTTGGAACCATCAAACCAACTAGGAAAGCTTTCCATGTCACCAACCTGCAAGTCCTTACAACACAAATATTTAATTCTCATCTCTTTATTGGCTAATGCCTTCCGTTTTTTCTCAGATAGCGCAATGAATTGAATGTCTCCATTAGCTATCCAGAGGGCCACGTCACGAATCAAGTCATGCAACTTCACACAATTGTTCTCAGCATCCAACCATAAACAAGAATTTATGAGTTTATTTTTTACTGAAAGCACTTGGCTTCTGGCTTCAGAGTATTTGTCAACTTCCCCAAAAAAACCTGCCCCTATGCCAAATTTAGTTAGAAGTTCTATAGGTACTTCTGTATCTGCTGGGAATATAGACAGTAAAAGGAAGAATCTTTTGGCTATTTCACTCTTCATATTTTCATAGCTATACCTTAAACTTCTATAAATATTTCTCAAATTTTCATCAACATCGAGCATGGGCATAGGATTTCTCAAGGCTGTCAAAGCTGCATCCCATTCTTCAAGGGGTCTATTCTTCAAAGTGCTGGCTATGGCTGCGATGGCAACCGGTAAATTTTTACATTCATTTGTAATTTCCTGCCCTTTATCCTGAAAATTTTTGGACAAAACATCATCTACACCAGCATGCTTTCTGAATAGGATCCACGCATCTTGATCTGACAAAAGCCCCAGTTGAATTGGCCTTGGACATCCCATTGAATTACACACACTTACATTGCGTGAGGTCAAAAGAACTTTGCAATTATTGTGATTCTCACCAGAAGGAATCCCTATTTCTTCAAAACTAATTGGTTCCCACACATCATCTAACATTACGAGAATTTTCTCTCGGTCAGTTAATCTCTGCCGTAGTGTGTTGCGTCTTTCCCATTCATTTTTGTCTTTCAACGACAATCCTAAGGGTCCTGCAATACTATCTTGAATCTTTTTGATATCTGGAGCATCTGACACAGTTGTAAAGATGACATGATCAAACTTTCCAGATTTCTCAAGTTTTCTACCAACTTCTTTAGCAAGTGTAGTTTTTCCAGTTCCACCCATTCCTTGGAGTGCAATGATATACGTGTCCTCATCTGCCATTGCATCCAAAACCTGTTTGTATTCTAAATCTCTGCTTTCAAAATGAATGAAACTTTGTGAAGAATGGCTTTCTATGCCTGAAAGATGAGGAGCACGTCCAACACGGTCAAAGGTGGTTCCCTTGAGTCTTGTAATATCGTTTGTCATTTGTGTTAGTTCTTTGCCCCTATGATATCGCCAAATGCAATTAGGACACCATCCCCAAAAACAAGCCTTTTTTGCTTTGGTATCCTCATTAATGACCTTTTCAGCTTCTCCTTGCCAATGGGTAACATCATCATGAATTTCCTCAGTATTTCTTCTTGCATCTTCGACATCTTTGCATATGGTTTTCCATTTCGCTTCCAACGCTGGTTTTTCCTTTTCAAAGTCATCCACAATGCAATTGAAGCAGCAAACGTTACGAGTCTCATCTATTATGAGATTAGTTAGTCTCCCCACTATGTTGTTCGCACAATCAAGAAGGATACTCGTCATCTACAAAATGTTCACCTTATTAAAATTATTGATAAATAGTTTGAACATGAATATTTTTTTTTACTCAAAATATACTAAATTTTAATTTTAGTTCTTATAAAATTATTTTGATTGTTCATGTATTTTTTTTTTAAAAAAAATTCATTGATTTCACTCCCTCTCACGACTGTGATTTTACTAACAAAAAAAATTGATATATGACAACATATGAGTTAATCACGTCATCATTTATAAGTAATTAAAAATTAAAACTAATTACTTTACAAAATGAAAAGACTAAAAACTATATATAATTTGTAGAAATCAAAATCAAAATAAATAATTCATAATTAATAGTTAAATCAATCAACAAATATCCATTGCAATAATTTGAGTAATTAAATTAATATTTGTTGAAGTGGTATTAGGCTAATTATAAAAATTTGAATCAATTGATTAAAATATACTTCAATGATTTAAATTAGTTAATTATAATAATTATTTTTAAATTTTAATTTTAATTCACTAATAGTATAATTTTAACTATATTATCACTCAATTATAAATTATCATATCAACAAGAGACTTTAAATTTTAAAATATGTAAATTAACTAAAGTTAGTATTTAAAATTTGAAATTTAAAATTTAGTCATTGAAACTGAGCCACTAAAAAATGTTAAAATTAAATAACAAAGTTAATAATTTGCCATGTTAGATTACACATGACAAATCATTCTGAATATAAAATAATGTTATTTTAAAATCTTTCAAAAATTATTTATTTTCATTTTTAACTTTTAACATTTTCAAGAAAAGGTCCTTCTTCATCTTCTATTTTATTTTATTTTTACAACATCTTTCTTCTTTTGGTTACCGTTGCAATACACTACCCAAATGTAGTAGGAATTGTTAATTTCGGAAGACTTACTCATTAATTTTACAATAACTAATATAAAAATTATATATACGGTGTATTTTAATTAGTTGACGGTAAAAAAATATTCGCATTACCAATACATTGGATTAAACTCCAGTTTTAAATCATTCTCTAAATATACAATGAATTTACACTATATATAAATTCTCTCATATATTATTTGGTTTACGAATTTTTTTTTTTATCATTTCTCTTAGTTGATTTTTTTTATTTTAGAATTTTGTTAAAACTTTAATTCTTTTGACCTTGCTAAATGATATATCTTCCATTGATATGTAATAAGTAGATCACATCTAGAAAATTTTATAAATTTTAAAAATCATTCTATATTTCATCAAGCAATTTTATTTTATTGTATACGTATATATAATATATTTAATATATACATGTATATACACACAGGAGAGCCACATACAGATCATTCATAATCTAAATAATTATTTACTTAAAAATTAGTTCAAACTGAATCATAAACACCGGGTTTTAACGATAACTCTTGATATCATGCGAAGCAAAGGAAACATGAGAAGTATTGAACTATGTATTCATATATGCTTCAAATATGAGATATAAAAAATAAGCAAACAATGGTGACTATGAAATGAGGACAATAGGAAAAGGTTACCTCTGCTTGAGAATACTGTTGCTACTTACGACTTCACATTTCTGAAGGAAGTGCAGATCGATGATGGCATCACTGAAGAGCGAAGATCCACAACTGCAACGAAGGAGCAAAATAGACGAAGAAAAACTCGCTCTCGCATCTCAGCAATGTCAACTCAACTTTCAATATAAAAAGGTTAAGTCTTGTTCATGTTCTATCAATTATTGTTTTCATATACATTATCTGCAACCACCATCAACCCAAGATTTGGATTTATTTATTTATTTAATCACCCAGCGATATATTATAAATTTAACCAATCAACTAGTATATAAAAAATAATATAACCAATTCACTTGTATAAAAAAATTAATAAATTATTTAACTGGTTGTTACACCGTGCTTTGTTGATTTTTTTACAAAAGTAAAATATTTTAAATAATAAATTATGTATATGTCTTAAAAAATTTATACATAAATCTCTTGAATTAAAATATATAGAAGTCAATTATAATCAACTTTTGTATTAATCGATTTTTCTATTAAACTGAAGTTAATTTCTGCAACGTATATTTCTATTTAAAAAAATATAATTTTAATTAAATTTATTAATATTTTTATATAATAATTAAATAATATTAATATAAAAATAATATTTTAAAAGACAAATAATTTAAACTATAAACGATATAAAATTTAAATTTTAAAATACATAAAATTTAAATTCAAAAATACAGGAAATTAAAATTTTAAAATATTTATTAACATTTTTTTGGAGATGTTCTACATATATCTTCTATAAAATGCAATCTGGTTGAACATTAAATGTGGACGTCTTTCAAGTATTTTGTTGCAACTAGTTTCTTCTGCGAAACTAACTCCCTATTAACAAAGATATACTCACTACATATTACTTCCATCATAATTTTAAATTTATGTGCACTGATGTAATTTTAAACTTTTGAATCCTCCGCAATTATGTTAAAATTGCAACTCTATACAACAAAATTGGCTATATTTGTTCTCAAAATTCTTCAAATTTACAAGCCACTATGTCAATAAAACCATAATTTCAATTGAAAACAATTTTTTTAACATTAAAAAATCATCATAATTTTTCTATTATGTATAACTAAAGTCGATTATAATCGATTTCTTTATTATATTATTAAAAATGATTTAAATTGATTTTTATATTAATATTAAAGTCAATTATAATCAACTTCTTTATTATATTATTAAAAATGATTTAAATTGATTTTTATATTAATATTAAAATCGATTTTAATCAACTTTCATATAATTTTAAATTAAGATATTTATGTAAAAAAATTTATTTTAGTGTATATATATAATTTTGATTTTTTTTAGTTTATTTATATAAAAAAAACCCGTGTTTTGTTTGAGTTATTAATAAATAAAAATAAAAGAATTAAAAATCATCAATATTCAAAGAAAATAAAATATTTTTAAGAAACTTGAGAGAATGAAAAAGTTTGAACAAACTTACGATTGTGTTAGATATCATAAAAAGAGATGTGGAATGGAATGAAATGCAGCGACATTTATTTTTATTATTTGAAACATTTTAAAAAATTGAAATGAAATAAAACTTTATAACATCTACTTTATTTTATTTATTATTTATTAATTTATTTTTATTCCTCCTAATTTAGGAGGTACGACGTTGAACAAAAATCTTATTATTTTATTGCATAATCTTTTTTAATTATGTTTATGAGATTTTCATTTGCATATTCTTAATCTTTGGTAGAGTATAAAACTATTTGAAAATTCTCAAGTAATTCAGGAAGCAGCCTGTTAATATAATTATTCAAAATTTAACTAAATTATTGAAAAATTTTAAAATAAATCCTTATGCTTTAATAAAAATTAAGAAATTTTATTTAATTTGATGAAATATATCCTAATTCAAGGATTTATTTTAAAATATTTTATAAATTTATCAACTCAATTAAAAAATTTTAAAGTAAAATGACTTATTTAAGAATTCTTACATAATTCAAAAACTAAGTGTTAGCAACTAACTTCTATTTGTATTTTCGATTTTGAAAAGATATTATGTTATTACATAACCCCGTTATCTGCATCCATTTGTTTCGCGGAGGTTGTTTTTACTAGCTTTTCGAAATGGGCTCAATGATGGAAAGAGTCCCATAAATATTTTGCTATCTCATGGTTTTAGGTCACTCGAGTCCCCTTCTCCTTTAAAATATATACACATCATCGTGATTGAGTGAAATCATCGTGATTGAGTGAGTGGAGATTTAGAAAGATCAAAAAATTTAATCACGAATCAACTTATAATGACTAGAGGTTAGTATTAATCGATCCATTCTTTGCTTCTGCATAGCTTTAACGGCGTCTAATACTGATATCTTAGTTTAACTTTTATTAATCTATTTGTTCAATAAATTACTAAAATAAAAATAATACTTGGTCTAAAGCAAAGTTTAGGTCACTGTTGAGTTAAAAATATCATTTTAACTTTTAGGAGCAAAATATTGCTCTAAAATGTTCTAACAATATAATAATAAATAGGCATGAACTTGGTCTTGCTTGCGCTTGGCTATCATGTATTGGCTCATAAATAGTACTCTATATGACTTGGTCTACAAACCGCTCAGGCAGAAGCAAGAAACGTTCCTTCAAAGAAAAAGTCCTCTGGAAATTTTCAAGTCTACCAATGCTAAAAATGGGTTATAATTACGAAATGGTAGTTATTAAAATACTCAACACATTATAGTCATCCTTATAAGATCTACAAGTCTACAACTTTTATCTTTTAAATAAGCTAAGATATCAAAACCATCTGAAGGTGGAACTTTTGGCTTTCGTAAACATATATCAAGTTTAAATATATTGTGTTTCCAATTGTTGTGCTCTCAAATTTTTCAAATTTCTTAAAAAAATTATAGAAATAACAATTATATAACAAAATAGTTCAACCAAATTTATAAAGTTAACTTAATTCATAATAATATTATGGAACAAGCTTATTATTATGAATATAAATATTTTAATATTCAATTTAAAGTTTTAACATGGTAAAAAATTTAGACATGATATTGTCACAATCGCACCTATGAAATTTAATTTAACTTAATTTCTAAGTTACGTCTCAATTTTCAAATTATAAATGTGTATAAAGAGAGCTTTAGATTACTATTATCTTAAAAATCATCTAATCTATCTATGAAAATTTTTAATGGATTTTGCGAAATAACTTTAGTAGACCGATAACTGTGGTCAATGATTTTTATATTAGTACAAAATAAGTTCTTTATGTTATAAGAACAAATTGCACTCGATTTTAATGCCCTTAATAATTAGAAATATCTTTTCTTTTTTCTTATCTAACGGTACTTTCTAGATACCAAATTTGCAATTGCTAGGCAGAGCATTATTTCTTCTCAATTATCTCCTTATTTCTCTCCACTCTTCTCATTTCTAACATACATCAAGTAAAACTTAGGAGCATTTTGAAATAGCAGCTACAATGTTTTAATAATTGAAAAAAATTAATTAGTAGTATGACATAAGTTTTATAACAAAGGGTCAATTTGTACCCCTTCAAATGAGATGTAAAAATATTAAGGACGAACTTTTCATAAGATATTTTTGTACTAATTTTTAAAAATAAAAATGTACCTGAAAGCATCTAAGGTAAATGTACTAGTTTTTTAAATTAAATATAAGTTTTACCTCAAGCAAATAAACTTATGTCTCTTTTTAGTGACAACCACTCAAAGCTATATTATAAGAAATAAATTTTTATAACAATTTTTAATATTTTTTATTCACAAAAATTGAATTTACAAACATTTTTTATATTTTTAATCATTTTTATTTATTTTTATCAAAAAATCATAAATGTTAAATTAAATTTAATAAAATTATATTTACTTTTAATAAAAGAATATTTTTGTCATTTATATATAATTTATATCTTATTCTATTTTTATTTGATTGATCCCAAACACATTATAGATAACGTAATACTATTCAAATTATTATTTTATGTGCATCAAATATAAAATATAATAATAATATATTTAACTCTTTTATCATATTTTATTTTTATTTAACTCTTTTATTCTATTTTTTTATCCTATGATCTTTCACCAGACAAACCATAAATAAAGTTTTGTTTAGTACATAATTTAGTTTAAACCCAATTAACTTATCAATTCCTTTGTTTAGGAATAAAATATAATCATTATTTAAACAGAATAAAAAACATGACATAAAATTTTATTTAAAAAAAGAGAGGAAATAAATGTGAATGTAATTTAGCGTGGGTAATAATTTTGTTGTGAACCGACGGTCCTAAACAAAAAGAAGAGGAGCCTACCCAGTGACCCACAGTTCTGGTGTTAGCAAAACGGCAACCGCTTCAGCTTCACACTTCCATTTTTGCTCTCATTTCTCGAAGCTATATCTCATGCTTTCATTTCTTGCCTCTTCGTACGGAAAGCTAGGGTGTCTCCTCTCCACTTCAACGCTCTTCCCTAACTCACTCGTTAGTCCTCTCAACCTGCTTCTACTTCTAGGGTTTTCAATTTTAGCTCTATTATTATTTCAATTCTAGGTTTCAAACGTTTCTTTTTTTGTTATGCCTTCTTTAATTTCATTCCAACCGTTGTTTTCCTTGTCTATTTCTGCGTTTGTGTTTCAATTTGAATGATGTTTGGGTATTCGTATGTCTTCAATTATTATTGTTGAAGATACGTGAATTAGGAGCCGTTAGTGTTGTGTTCAAAGCTTTTCCCTCTCTTTTTTTTCTTATTGTTCGTTTATGTCCTTGTTTGATTGGGATTAATTTTGAAAAAAAAAATAGTCGCATTTTTATTAGAAGTTCTTGAAAGAAAATTGATAAAAATAATTTGTTATTTCTTTAAGAAATAAAATCATACTCACTTAAGCTAATAATGAACAAAACACCGTACCGTTCGTGATTCTTTCTTTCTCTTGTGTTGCAAATTGCAATGGCATATCTCGTGCTCAATGGTGTTTACGCCTTTTTCAGAAAGTAGCATTCCAGCTTTTAATTTGGAACGAATTTGCTTGGTTCCACACTTTGATCATGATTCTGCTTCTATTTGTACTTAAATTGCAAACTTAGGTGTGTCTGTGCTGGTATTCGCCGTGCAATGTATGCTATACAGTTATTTTGTTTGACTTAGAAAGACACTATCTGAATAATGTATTATTGTTTAACAAGCCTAGATTTGACCGTAATGAGAAATCACTTTCTAATATTATAGTTTCCCATAAGTTATTCAACTGGTATTGATGGAAGAAATCTTATATAGTCACTACAACTTGATGACCAAACCATTACACACTTAGAGTTGTTTAAACCAACAAAAAAAAAAAAAAAACTTTAGTCTTTCACTCCTACCAGCTGGATTACGTAGATGCCGAGCATTAGGTAGTAGAGTTGGAAGTCTCCTCTATGATTTAGTTCTATACATCTTGGTGAGAGTAAGTGCTAATTAGATACAATTTTGCTGCAGTAATTTCACGTGATCAATGCGTGGAGGTGTTACCAAGTACACTCGAAGTAGCTGGTATAAATATGTTTCAGATGCCATTTGATCCTTCCAAGAGCAATATTGGATGTATTTCACATTTACCAATCTATGTTGGTTTCTTTGGAGGGGAGGTTGTTTCATAATTGTGAAATATTTTGAGTTAGCAGCATAAACCCCTGGCTTGTTCAAGAACTGGAAAGGATTACTGGATGCACTAACTTGCAATGTGCATCTGAACAAGCATCGGAGAAATTCAATTCAATAAACTCTTGTAATTTGATTCGCTGTATGAGTGGCCAATTGTTGGGTGCTGTGGAATCTTATGTGTTACAAAGTTGTTGTACCAGTTTTGTCATGAATGTAGATTTTTCATGATTTCCTAAGAATGCTTGTAGGATTTGGAAGATCATTGAGAATTTTTGGAAATGCTCGATTCTTTGTATTCATTGAATGCTGAAGAATGAAATCTCGAGCATCTTTGTTATTTCGTTGAAATTATTTGACATAAATTTGCAGAACATTGAATCGTATGCTCTCATTGATTGAACCCATTAGTTACAGAAGAGGTTCTTAACTAATTTTGAGACTTACAGATGGTAACATTGCTAAAAGGTTTTGGCAAATTTTGCTATTATATCATTCGGTGTGATCAGGGGTTTAAATAGGACCTATTTTGATTGTAGTTATCTTAAGGACATGAGCCCATTCTAGATTTCGAAGTACGCGTGAGTGATGCAACAAAATCCTTGGCGTTTAGATCCCTACGGCATGCTTGACGGTATTGAAATTAGTAACCTTTCCAGCTATGTCTTGAGCATTTTATAAAGTTTCAGAGGTTGAAGATTAGTTAACGATACCATATTCAGTTCGGATAGGTTAACAAAAAGCACTGGATAATATATGCCTCTGAAAAAATTGTGTCTCTTCACCCACTCGAACAATATTAAAATAATACTTCATTTGTAGATATTACTGGCTACAACTATTTCACATAATGTCATCACAACAACAAAAGAATGTATGGCCTAATTCGCTTAAAAATATGTATTGGATATCACCTCTTACTGTCATTCCTCCGATTTATACACTCATTTTTCAAGTCTACCAAGAACATTATAAAATTTGGCCAGAGAAGAAATATAGTCGTTTGGTTGTCCTATCTGAGTAGTATTGTTTTTATTTAATTCCCGGTTACATTCTGTAAACTGAAATTTTTGAGGTCGCTTAACTTAGGTAGATGCCTATTCCCCAAACAAATATCTGGGTATGAATGAACTTTCTGGAAGGAAGGATTTCCTAACCTAAGTCAGAGCAAGTAAATTAATGAATTTGATTTTATTGTCGGTTTCTCGTGGTTAAAATGATATATGTTTACAGAATGCAAAATTTTTCAGCCAGTTATTTCAACCCGTGAATCTTTTTGAGTATAGGATGGTTTTCTTTGCTTCTCAGCGTGTATAGTTTCTTTTGAGGTTTATTTTTTCAAGCTTTTACCTTCCTGATCCTCCATCATGTTTAGTCTTATTCTCTCTTACTAAATTATTTTCCGTTTAAAAATGGTCAATTGTTTTGACGGTTGATGCAAACTTTGACTTGGTTGAATTATTGAAGCTTTTGGTGGAACTAACTTCATTCGTGCTTTTAGGTTATAAAATCTTTATTCTGTCACTCATTTGTTAACTTTCTGTTGCTTCTATTTTTCGCAACCACCATGCCATATTCCTTGAGTGAAGAACATTAGGAGAATGAGGATAGATTTCAGGTTCCTGATTTGTTCTGTTGTTTCTAAATCAGAATACTCTGCATTAGTCAAAGTGAAACTTTAAGTCTTTGGGGATTGAGATGAGCGGAAATGGCAGAAAGCACTCTTCAAAGTGGGATTCAAGAGATCAACATGAATTTGCACCAGATAGTAAGGCCTGTTCGTTTGTGCTTTTTTTAAGAATTCCTTTTTAACAGTAAAAAAAAGATAAGTAAATTAGTTAAAAAGGCTAAAATCAAGAAATGAAATCAATCTTTGTTCACTTTTCATAGGTTAGATAGCGTAGGTTATGAAAAAAAGGCTGTAAAAACTAAAAAACAGCTATATCAGTCAAGCACTTTTCCTATCCAAACACACCCTAATTGCAGTTTGGGTGATCATCTACAGGTGTTGCTAGTAGCAATAGTTCAAAGTGGTCCTATTTGGAAAGAAATGATAAGTTAAAATCCAGAATGGGATTTTCATTCAAGGAACCTTTTCCTGAAGGCAGAGGATCAAATAAAGATGATATTACGAGTAAAGACTACAGAGCTTTGGATGCAACAAGTGCACAGGACACTGATAGAAGTTACAGCATGGAAATGTCACCAGGGCTTGAGGATTGGAAAAGTAAGAAGTACAGTCAATCCCCAAGAAATGGTTGCAGTCAGTCAGTCAGGTTTGTTTCTTCACTCACATCTGTACTGACCCTAATTTCTTAAAATTAACCAAAACTTAAATAAGTTTAACTGATGTGTTTTTTATGAGAAATATTCCATAAATAAACCTGAACATAGATATTATTATAGATTAATGCTCGTGAGAATGCTGTGACACCTCTGGTACTCAGTAAGTAGTACTGTTTAAACACATTTGAATCATATATTTTTATTGAGAATGCTATTTAGTATGAAATGAAATTTCATGAATTGGATACTGAACAATGAGCAATGCCATAAATAGGTGGGCCTGTACTTGTCTTGACAAAACGCAGGCATTTTTATTCTCTTTAAGAATTTGTTGTTGTTTCTTGAATGTTATTGTGTATGATTTAGTGTTATTCTTTTCTATTCACTTGATATTTTCATGCTTATATACATACAGTCACGAACATGCATGAATAGTTAAAATTAAAACATTATGTCATCTGATGTTTTTAGTTTTCAAGATGACCATGTGATTACGATCTGATGTTTGTGTGGTTTTATTCTTTGATAGACATGAAATATTCAATATCCATATATTAAAAATCTAAGATTATAAAGAAAAGGTTAGAAGCTGAATTTCGTAGGATAGGTCCTTCAGAAAAATTGCACAGAAAAAGCAATTTATGAATTTTACTTATTAAGATGACTCAATGTCATGTTCCATCCTTTTGTTTCAGATTGTGCTATGTCTAATGTCTCATGTCATGTCTGTGTTTGTCCTGCAGAGCGTGTTTCTTTATGGGTACCTGTTTTCTTTAATTTCCAGATTATTTAGTCTTAGATGGCTTTACATTTTATATCATTAGCATTAAGGCTATTAAGTTCAAACTGTCTCCCCTTCTTCAAAGAAATTTTACATCTTTGACATGGCCGTGTATGCATAATTTCCAGATGCAACTGCTTTTCATAATTGTCTGCCCTTTGTTGGAGCAGGAATGCTCGGAGCCGGAGCAGAAGTCGGAGCCCTTCACGTGGTTTTAGGTGGGATTCAGGAGTCAATGACAGATGTAGAATGAGGGCTGGAGGATTGGCACAACCATGTAGAGATTTTGCTGCTGGAAAATGCAGGAGAGGCAGCCAATGCCATTTCCTTCACCATGATGATCAAAATTATGATGATAACTGGGAAAGTAGACACAGGAAAGATGGCACTCCCAGATATTCTACTCTCCATGAGAGTGGGGACTACTCTCGTACAAGTGGAAGATCTAAGGAAACTTGTATCAATTATGCAAAAGGAAGGTGTAGAATGGGAGCATCATGCAAGTATGTGCATCATGACAATTCTGATCAGTTCAGTAAATTTTCTGTGGATGAAGCAACTAGGGAAAGGGAAATTGACAGAAGGCGTACAGAGAATACTTTAGAGCAGGGTGGTCGACACGGTCCAAACCACAATGGTGATATTCCTTGCAAATTTTTTGCATTTGGTAATTGTCGAAATGGCAAACGTTGCAGATTTTCTCATGATAGGCAAGCATCCAGGAGCCCTAATAGAATATTAAATGATGATAGGTCAAGAAGCAATCAAGGTGAAGATCAGGCTCTGGATAGGCCAAAATTGAGTGACAAAGTTAGTCCAAATGGAAGGCTAAGAGATGATAGATGGGGTTTAGATGGCAGTATGGCTGATAGAGATGAAGTTTGGGATGGTTCCAAACAGAATGATTTAGTTGTTGTCCCTGATTTAGTGAAACTGGTTAAGGATAACAAAACTGGGATTATGGGCACCCCAGAACCTGGATTCATGGCTTGGCCAATTATTGATGGATGGGACCATAGCTTAGATAAGAACAGAGTGCATGGTGGATCACCATTTTCAAGTGATAAGAAGGAAGAAGCTAACTGTTGGACAGCCAAAAATGATAGTGCCAACATTCACTCATCCCAGTCAGTAGCTGCAGACATTTGGCCTGGTAATGAAAAAATGTCTCCTGATTGGAATTATGGTGTGGGATCTTCCAGCCATACTAAAGAAGAGCACGGGAAGAGTAAGCAACAAGTTGCTCCAGGTAATCACATGTTTGATGTTCCTCTGACTAGACATCCTTGTCCATTGAAAATCCATTTAATTTGTTAGTTTAAACAAATTATTGGAAAGGATGGTGTTATTGCATTGATATACAAGACATAAACAAATCTGTCAATTGACTCGATTCACACCTAAACCTAAACTTTTCTACCATTCTGCCAGGACAAGGATTTAATCAGAATGTAAATACTTTGCATTCTTCAAGCTGCCATGCAGTTGGACAGAGTCAAGTAGCAGTCTCCATTGTTCCTCCAAGACTGGGAACTGTTGAAGTTATGCAGAACCAGGAAGTCTCTACTGAGAAAAAATACATGGTTGAGCCAAATATCATGGATGCGAACCTATCACAAGTTGGTTCACGAAATCCTCCAACTCAGAACATGGTAAGCAAAGAACAGCTTACTCACCTTACCAGCCTGTCAGCCTCCTTGGCACATATCCTTGGAACAGGTCGGCAGCTTCCACAACTTTATGTTACTTCTATTTCCCAAGATGCAAAGGATACTCCCTTCCTAAGCAAAACTGAAGGGTTTGGCAAGCCTGCTTCCATAACATTCATCAAGCCAGATCCTGCTGTTGAATTGCAGAAGCAGTGTGATCCAATGTGTGATAGTATGGAGCCAAATAAGGCTAATGTAAATGGGGTACCCACTACTCTTTCTCCAAGTAAAAAAGTTCCATCACTTTTACCTAAGGTAGGACAACATTTTGATGACTCTAAGACTGCCTTTTCAGAAGAACAACTTGTCAAAAGTGAACATTCAATTCAGTTGCAGAAAGTTGAAAACATTGAGGTTAATAAGGAGAACAATGAAGTGGTAGCAGAAGAAAAGCAAAGTTCTCGAATTGAAAATAAAATTACAGAAGAGAATGGTCCTTTGGAAAACATGGACCAAAACAGTGGACCTGATGATGAGGCCAAGAAAATAAAGGATGTAAAGGGTATTCGTGCATTTAAGTTTTCATTGGTTGAGTTTGTTAAGGAGCTTCTGAAACCAACGTGGAAAGAAGGTCAAATCACCAAAGAAGATTATAAAGCTATTGTGAAGAAAGTTACTGATAAAGTAACTGGTACAGTGCAGCGGGTACATATTCCTCAGACACAAGAGAAAATTGACCGCTATTTATCATTTTCGAAACCAAAGCTTAACAAACTTATACAGGTCAGTGGTGGTTCTCTTACAGATTTCCATCTGATGTATGAAGGATTCCAAATTTTGTACCTATGCAAATCTAATGTCTCTCTCTTTTTTTAAAACTATGCAAACTTGGTTCCCTTAATATTTATTTTTCTACTTAAATTCTTAAATTATTATTATCTAAATATGCAAGGAATTTATGATAGAATTGGGACATCAAATAATTTTAAAAGTTTAGAAGCAAGAAATTTAGTGAAAATTTGATAAAACTTACAACGTTTTATAAGATGTGAAATGAGGATTTGGAGACAGAAAAATCGAGATTGTTTTTCTTTTTTATGAAAATTGATTTAGTTAGCGAATATTGAGTAAAAGATAATTTAATTGATTCAATTTGTAAAATTTAAGTAGAAAATGAGAATTTAAGGATTTTAGGCTGAAGAAAATAAACAAAAGACAAAATTTCCTAAATTTTAAAATTAGAGCGGCTTAATTAGTTTTAAAAAAAATTGAAAGACTAAAATTGTACACAATACAAACTAAAGGGACTAAAACTATAATTGAAGTATTATTTTTATTTCCTAACTTAATTACTTTGTTTGTTTAGCAATTAATTCTCATTTCTATATCTGTTTCAAATTGAAGCTTGTTTTTATGTGATAATGTTTGCTTGTCATATGGTGGTAATCGGTTATAGTCGAGAAACAGTTTGCAGCTCACTAGGGAATGATTTCGTATGTCTAGTCCTCCCCAAACCCTACAGTGGTGAGCGAGGGTCATCCTTTTTCTTTTGGGCAGAACAGCTATTTTTTTCAATTAAAATTAATGTTTTACTTCAATAAAAAAGTTTACATTTAAGTTGTTGCTTACTAAGGTGAAATTTTAATTTTGATTAAAAAAGAAACAGCAGTAAAAGCACCTAATAACTGCTACGTTAAGTTTTCTCCGTTTCTTAAAGATCCATCACATTGTCACAAGTGATCTCTAAAAGATTATGACCTCCATTTGATTTCTTACGTCAAAATTGTTTTATTTAACTAGTTTTAAATTATGATCTATGTCAGCTTGTGAATCTGCACTTGCACTTGAGACTTGGTTATTTGTCACAATTACTTGTGAATCTTATGATAATTGATTATTTTTGGCTTTTGCAGCTTTCTTATAATCACTCTCCCTTTGGTTGCAGGCATATGTGGAAAAGGTTCAGAAGGCTTAGTGCAAGTATAGAAATTTGGCTATGTAATCTGTTGACTAAATTTTGCCAAGTTTGTTTTCTTTGCGTATTCTGTTTCTTCTATGCACAATAAGAAGTTAAAATGTCCCAATTAGTTCAGATGATAGTATAATCGAAGAACCTTTGCAGCTCATGTACATATAACTCGGAGCTGTCTTTTGTTTCTAGTGTCTAATTTAGACTTTAGTTTACAACCCCAAATATTAGGCAGCTATTTGGCAGGATCCATCTCTATTGCTGTTATTTTTATTTACTCGTTTGATGCATATGTAAAGGAAAAGAAGCCTTTTTCTTCTCAAAACAGTAACAAAGAGACGGTTTGTTGTGTTGCCTAAATCTTCCCATGGTAAAGCAACTCATCTTTGCATTGTCCATCGATCGAATGCTGTGTTACGCTTAATATGAAGGGATTACTTGTTTTAACACTTCAGCTTAGGTTCTGTATAGTTATTTTTTATAGATAATTAAAGTGTTTAGTTTAGCTTTTTTTTTTTAAATAATTTTTTTATTAAATTTTTTGAGAATTTTTGAAAAAAAAAACAGATTATTTCTCTTTAAATAAGTTTATTTAAATTTACTATTACTATTTTTTTATAGAATTAATCTTAAAAGAAAAGATTTATGTGGGGAGGAGATTAATTAAACTATTAAGGTTTTCATATATTATACATATAATTTAAAGTTCAAGTAATGTTTTAAAAAATAAATAAAAATAAATTTCCAACCAATTCATGAAAATGAAAGTAAATTGAGTGAACTTTCATGCAAAAGCTGAACATTCCCGAAGAAGAAACATAATATGTAGTTCATATGTTTACTCATAAACTGCTGAAAGTAAAAATAATGGGAGAAAAAATTATAATATAAATAAATAAATAATTGTAATTTAGTAATTTTTTTAGAACAAAAACATATAATGATTAATTGTTAATTTAAAATTAAAAAATATATATCCTCTCTTTTCTTTTTCATCACAAACTTTCTCCCAAACAATCCTTTAATATCCTATTATATTGTTTCAAATTAACCATAATATTATGTTCTCTCACACTACAAAATAAAAAATATCTATTCTTTATGTTTTCACCTATTGACAGAATATAAAGAAAAATAGAGTATAGAAACAGCCTTCTTCCTTTATTTAAATTTTTGTCCTAAATATAATAAAACAGCAAACGGTCTTAGAAATTAATTATTATAAGAATTTAATTTCTGTAGTAATTAATATTAAAATTATATATACATATATATTCTACTTAGTTGACAATATAATATTTTTACACTGTGCACTAAAATTAAATTCTTATTATAAAATAGGTTAATCAAACAAATATTTATTTTCAAAAACAAAACCTTTTTTTCAAGAAGAGTAAAAAAAAAAGTTCTAAAGTGTTTAATATTCGAATCCACCTTTAATATTAAAAGAGTTTGATTTTAGTACTCTCAGTATAAAATTAAAATTCATTATAAATATGAGTTTTATATTATTTATTAATATAAAATTTATAATAAATAAGGATAAAAATTTGTTAATAATTAATGCATTTATAAATGTTTTTATTTCTTATATTGTGGATGAAAAAATTGATAATTATTTTTTATAAATAAAATTAAAAGTAATAATTTGAATAATTTTATATAATTTTGTTTGTATTTTTATTAAAATCGAAATAATAGAGAAAATATATTTTAATCTCTATATATAGGAACAAAAATAATATTTAAAATTATATAAATTATAGATAAATTAAACATATAAGTCACTTTATAAAATTGTGACAAAATGTAATTATGCCTAGACTATAGGAAGAAACTATGATTAAAGAAAATCAATTTAATTTTATATAAGAATGTTTGAAAAAAAGTTATATATCTTTTATAAAAATAAAATAAAAAAGTATCACTATAAAAAAATTTATTTATATATTATTTTTATTAACTTAGAAAGAGCATATAACTGTGTATCAAAAGAATTATTATGAAAGATTTTAAAAGATAAAAAAAAATTTATAATATTTTTTTTATAAGCAAAACATATATTATTAGAGAGTTTAAGAAAAATTCAAAATCCATATATATAGAAAAACCAACACTTACATAGAAAAACAAAAAGACAGAAACATACTCATGTTAAACTAAAGCAGATGTAATTTCGTGGGTTCAGATACTAATCAATTAACAAAATAGCTTTTCTCTTACTAACAAATGATAGTCACTACTAAGACCTTAGAATAATAGAATATAGAACTTCTCTCTCATCCAAAACACCATTAAAAAATACTATTCTATTTCTATGTGATCATAAAAACTATATTGTATTTACCCAGACAATTAATAAATATATTTCTTCTCTTTTGCTATAATCAACACCAACTCAAGCAAGCAAGTGAGTCGATAAATTGAAGATAAAATCAGCAAGAATCTAAGTCAACGCGCAGTAAAGTACTGGATTCAAGATGAAACTGAGCACGTTAAAAACAAATGACTTGGAAATTCCTCCATACTATGGCAGAAGCAATAAGTTATATCATCAATTTGAACACAACGATCAACCAGCACTAGCAGATCTTTACAAGGAAGTACATTCAAAAGCAATTGTCAAGAAAATACTAGACACTTAAGTGAGACATTTTCTCTTTATAGCCTTTACAAGACGTCTGTTATACACTGATCTATACTATTAGGACCACCAAAATATTCAAATAATCATGAATACGCAGATTGCACTGAATAGCAACCTGAAAAATCTGTCATTCATACCCTTTTGTCTTCTTGTAACACCTTAATAGAAACTCCATCAACAAATTCCAACAAAAGATTAAAATTTGAGATCTTATGTTGAAAGAGTCATCTGCGCCAACTAACATCCTAAACCCACCTTGTGTCATCATGAAAATCATTCTCCAATATACAAAATTTAACATTCATTGTTACCGCAAACAATCACAGAAATGTCTCACACAATCGCACCTTATCTATCTATTTATCTCTCTAAAAAATGTGTGCAAATCTGCACCCACACTCCTATCCAACTTTTCATCCAGCCATAAATTTTCTTGATGAATAACCTCCAACAAATCACGCCACCACAAAAAACATTTGTTGTATATTGATAGATGTTAAATAGAAGAAGCTAATTTGTCATACCTAGCTTCAATACCTGCACCTATAATGAAATAGAATAATTAACACCTCGCTATAATCATTTACCAATAAGCGCTCAGTTAAAATACTGCATATTCTTAATGCTCAAGCCACCATTCTTCTACAGTCTACAAACCATTTCCAATTTCACCTAGGAGATTTTAGATCCATCCTTATACAAAACATATACAAAAAGATAGATATATATGTGAAAACTGCTATATCTAAGGATTTTTCAGTTGATATATATTTGATTTTACTTTAAGTCCTTACCTATTTAATCTAATATTTAAATATATTTATAAGTGACATACAAAAAACTATCCTTAGTATAAAGGAAAACTTTAAAATCTAAAAAAATTTCTTGAAGAGAAATAAGATGTAGTATATACATATTGTTAATTTAAGAAAAAATAAACAGAAAATAATGCATTTAGAAGTTAAATTTTGAAATAATATTATACTACAAGTTTTTATGTATAGATATTTGGAATTGATTCTACATAATAATAAAGAAATTAATGAAAATGTTACTTATAAAATACAAGTTGTATAGTTAAAGTAGAGAAAAATATTAAGAGTTATTTATGATTGTAAGGTATATATTAAAGAAAATTTTAATCATATTACATGACTAAATATCTTAAATTGTAATAAATGTTAACAACACAAGAAAAAAATTAAAAAATGACAAAAATAAAAATATTAAGATAGATGAGTAATCGCACAAAAAAAGATAATATAAAAAATAATATTGAGAATATTAAAGTATTACTATAGTAAGAAAAATGATTAAAAACTACTTAAAGTGATTAAAAAAGACTTATATACATATAAGTGAAAAAAATAAGTGAAAAAGAGAGTAGATATGACGAGTTTTAGTTGGTAAAAATAGATAGATAGAAATTCAAAAAAAATTTAAAAAATCTTTTAATTAATAGTACTTTCGAAAGTTTAGTTTTTATCAAATTTAATAATATTGTAGGGTTCATGTAAGATGGAATAAAGTTTGATTGTTATATTAAAATTAAAAGTTAATTTTTTTTATTAAAAATTGTATATATGAAAAGTATACATAATTCCATGACGATAAATAAATATATGAAAAGTATACATATATTTCTTTTTTTTTTATTCCATCTTCTTTTCTATTAAAGTAAATATTACGAAAAAAAAATTGTTTCCCAAACAATTTGAAGCTTTATTAAAAATTAATAATAAAAAAATTTTATTAAAAAAATATTTATGATTTTTTTATAACTTTAATATAATAACCATATTTTTTTTATAAAAAATTTTTTACTTTTAAATTTTTAAACTCAACTCTTAAAGCTGTGAGAGTTGAGGTTAACAAAATCCTTATAAAAAATATAAATTGATTGATTTGCTTTGACAATAAAATCAAAATCATACATTTCAGTTGTTTGTCTAATTCACACGCACAGGCCACCAGTATTTATAAATTTCAGTGAACGCTATTCGATTGTTTCAAGTACAGTGAACGTGAATTTATTTGTAGCTATTAATTTTTGTTCTTTACGTTGACGCCAAGCCATAGCATGCGAAGGTTTTCATTTTGTTGCCAAATTAACGAAAACCATATGTCCCATTTGTTTACCAAACGGTTTAATTATGTTTTATGTTATGGCTTCGACAATGTACACTTCAACAATAAAACGATGCGTTAATTAAAAGTATATATAGACATCTTTTCATCACTATATTATCATATGGTCGTCATTTTTTCAAATAGTGTCCAAGTACTCCATAGTTATACTCTGTTAATTTCTTACAATGTACTAGTCTTTAATATTTTAAAAATTTACATATTTAATTTTTACCGTTAAATATACTCGTTAAGTTATAAGTTGGATAATAAAAAAATAATTTATCATTGTCATATTATTTATTTTTTAACATTTTATTATTTAAAAGTTAATTTTGCAAAACATTCCTTTAATATATTTTTTTCTTTCTTCTTCTCCTCTGTTTGTACACACAACCCCATATATAACTCCAAGAAATCATAGTTCTCTTCTCTCTCCTCTCGTGACAGCAAAATTTAATTGCTTTAAGTTATTTTTGTTGAAAAAATTTAGAAACTTCTCTTAGTTAAGAATTATAGATTGGAAAGTGTGTAACGAAGAATCGTTAAGTATTTCTGTCTTTGTCTTTTATTTCATCTATTTGTATGATTAATTGCGTCCTTTCTTCAAATGTTAGAAATCGAATTAGCATGGCATATTTGTTTGTGCTTTTGTTTATAATCATTCAAT